GGCGCGGGCGGGGCGGGGTCGCCCGCCGCCTCCACCGTCCGCCGGGCTCCTGGGCGCCGGGGCGCGACCTCCCGACCTCTTCCTTATTTCCGCGCATGGATGGAAAGAGCGCGGGGCACTTGTCGAGCGCAGGGCCGGTGGCCCCGGGCGCCGGGCGCCGGGCGCCGGTGGCTGTCGGGCTGGCGGCCTCGGACACGCCAACTTTCTTTTTCTTACGTATCCTTACGGCTTTGCACAAAGACCTTCAGAATACGTAAAATATTTTTAGAACTCCCACTTCCCCCTTGTGTTCTAGGTTGGGTACTTTAACTTCAGATAAAAGGGGGAGTGTCCTGGCTGAATGGTATATGCATTTTTCACTGTGTGTGTGTGTGTGTGTGTGTGTGTGTGTGTGTGCGCGCGCGCGCACGCACGCGCAAGCATGTTTTACTTTTTGCATTTATTTTCACCTTTTTAAAAAATTTACTAGTATGTGTTTGCAGGACCTAATGATTAGATTCATCGTGGGGAGTTGGCGTACCTCCATAAGGCATCTTGGCTTCTTTCCACTTCCCTTTCTCTTCTCCACCCTACCACTTCTCTCCAGCTCTTGATCGCCCAAATTTTTACATTGTTTGGGATCTTATAGCCATACATTGATATTTAATCACTTCAGATCACTGGATTCTAATTATATCTAAGTGAAAACCCCCAGAATCTGGAAGGAAAGGAAGTAATTATGAAAGGCTGTGCTGTTAGGTAACGGCGGTGGTGGGCATTTCTGCTACCCTGGGTGTGCTCTGAGCCACACACCAGCCCAGACTGATAAAAACGTGTCTTGTGACGTGGACGAGCCTTTCTTTTTCAGGCCTCTTGGAGAAGTTAGCTTCAAACTTGTGACTAGTTAAGAATTAAGCCATAGTTTGAAAGTGTCTGTAGCAGTTAATAACTCATTAATGTCTTTGTCATTTTCCTTCAGATACATTGCTTAAGCTGCTTCTGAATAGTAAACTCTGACCTCATTTTGATTGTGGTTGTTAAAAATAAAGTATATAAAACATCTGCAGTAAGTCTGAGTAAAGTTTGTCTAGGATCCATGTAGTTTGAAAGTTCTCTGTGTACAAGTGTGAAAAAAAAGGATCCTTGGTGCTCTGAACTAAAGCCAAGTGCTAAAGTGTAATAATGGTTCAAGGATGGAGTAGCTGTGCTAGGAATGCCCTAGATGTCGTCTGGGTAAAGATTACTCTTGTTGTATGCAGAGGCCTGAACGTCCCTGAGCATCTGCCATGATTAGGCACTGACTGAGTGGACACACTCCTGTTTGCATTCCAGAGGGAAGGATAGGTGATAATATGCTAATGTGATCATTTTTCAATAGTAATGTTGGGCAACAGTCAGAGTATAGCAGAAAATGGTGGAGTGGTGACTTGCTGTTTGGGATCGAGTCTTCAGCATGTGATGACACCTCAGGGGGAGAAAAGCCTCACCCGTGGGGATTGTGGGAAGAGCCTTCTGGAGTGAGGTGATTACACCCAGAAAGCCTTAAGGCAATGAAATGCCAGGTTCAGTCAGGTTGCAAAGAAGGCACTGCACTTCAGAGTTATCTACCTCCCAGGTTGAGTGTGTTTGCTTAGCAAGTAGAAAATTAATTTAGTCATTTTACAAACATTTATTCAGCTCCTGCTATGTCACCACATAACTTCAGTATTTTATACTGGTGCTCATGACTGAAAGTGAAGTCTCTGCCCAAACTAGATTTATAAAACACGAAGTTTATGTTTATTGGAAAGCTTAGATGCTAAAATAAGTTCGGTAGTAGCTAGGGAGTAGTGTTTGAAACTGAAGATTCTGTATTGAAATTCTCTTTGTTCATTCTTTATTGCTCTTGAGAAGCAGTCTTTTTTTTTTTTTTTTTTTTTTTTTCTGGTGGAACCGGGGATTGAACTCAACCCTTACGCTTTCCAGGCAAGGGCTTGAGAAGCAGTCTTGAAGAAAAGCTCAGTTGCACTTTGACTCCCTTGCATTGTTTTCTTTGTGTTTCTGTAGTTCATAGAAAGGTAATTATTGAAATACTGAGTTAAACACTAGCAATAAGACTTTCTGCAGTAATGGACATGGACTGTATGTCAGCTATTGAAGCTAAACACATAAAATGTTTGAACACTTGAACTTTTTTTTTTTTTTTTTTTATATTTTAGGACAGGGTCTACGGGGTCTCACTGCATAGATTGGACCCATAGTGATCCTCCTGTTTACAGCCTCCCAAGTGCTGGGATTACAGGTGTGTGCCACCACACCCAGTCGCAATCACCCTCAGCACATCCGAGGGATGGGGCCGCCATGGCAGGCCTGGGGATGGAACTCCTGACCCTGTGTCTGCCTAAGCAGGTGCTTCAGTCTGCTGAGCTGTTTGGCCAGCCCATGAAAACTTTTTGAACACTTGAAATTTGGTTAGTGTGGTTTTCACATAACCTAACTTTTATTTAAATATTCCATGTAGTTAGTAGCTACTCTGTCAAACAATACAGGTAGTGATGATGAGTCATATAATTATTATTTTGAGAAATGACACTAGGAATTCTGAATGGGCATTCAACAAGAGTACTTTGGTGTATAACAGCTTGAATTGCTTCCTGGATATGGATTGTACAAAGTAAATATTCGAAAAAACATAACATTAATTTATCCTACACACAAAAATAACAAACTTAAAAAAAAAAACTTTTAAAGTCAGCTAATTGTTACCTATTTGTATATTTAGTTCTCTTTTACAGTAAAGTTAGCCATTTGGCCCCATTATTTTCTAATATCTCATCCAAACAATCAACCATTATTACCTTTTAGATATCACTTGTTAGCAGAATAATTCAGAAAAGGAGTATCCTGTTTAGTTGAGTTACTTTCATCAGCTCCCATAGTTATCCCAAACCTGTTAACTCATTTTAGTAGTAAAGATAGGGGGCCTGCAGAAAGGTGGTAAATTTGGCTTTTCTAGGTAAGTGAGAACTCTTATCCTTAGTTTTATTATATAGAAGCCAGTGTAGCCTAGTATTTAAGAAAATGTAAGCCGTAAAACTTAGTTTCAAATTATAGCTGTTTTGCTAATTTTAATACACTGCTCATCCACCGTGTATTTATGTCAGCTATAAACCAGGTCTAGTTAACAGAGGGAAAGGAGGAAAGGTATCATTGAGCTGAGAAAAAATTGTCTACGCAGAAAGGGAAATATTATTTGACAATAAAAAGAATAAAGTACTGAAGAATACTACAATGCAGTTGACCTGTGAAAAGAAAGAATAGGTGAATCCAGTCACAAAGAGCACATATTATAATTTCCTTTTAATGAACTGTGCAGAATAGGCAAACCTAAGAATGAAAATTGTAGTTATTCTCAATAGGTTATTCTCTTGTAGGTTATTCTCAATATGTGTTCATTTCTTCATGTGGAAAATTGTAATAGTAATTGTACCTACTTCATAGTCTTGTAAGAATTAACTGAGAAAGTAAATGTAAAAAGCACAATGTCAGAAAATGGTTGCTTATGTGAATTGCTTTTTCCTCTTCATCAGAGAAGAGATTTCTGTAAGAAATTGAGGATGGTGTAGGAGTAGTAGCTCTTTGGATAAATGAAGCCCTGTTATCTTACTATCAGGAACTTTTTCAAATTTAGTTTTTTGAGGAAAAATATAAAGAAGGACAGTTCTATTTGTGTCTAATTGTTTGACTCTTTGGAGATCAAGAAGATTTCTTTAAAAGAGAACAGGGGACTTAGGCCAGAATTGCCTGAGTTTGAAGGCCACAATACTACGCATGAGTTGACAGAACTCTGGAGATGCTCTCTGCAGGGACAGAGGAGGCCTCTGGTGCTGGTGTGTTGAGCAGCTCTCATGCAGGCCCCGCAGGTACAAGAGAACATCATACCTTTCCTGCTCAGGGTGGAAAAACACTTAGGCCCTGGATGGAGACCCAGTTGCTAAATGTCTTGCACAAGAACGTGATTTGCAGTTGCCAGTTATAATAGCAGCTGAAGAGGCTGTGGGTGAGTTCTCATAATTTTAAAGACATGGAGACACTAAAGAGAGAGTTGAGTGTGGCTTGGAGACAGGGATATGAGATTCATTCTGTGCTGTGGTTTAAATGGACCATGTGTGTAGGGGAGCCCCCGCAAGAGAATACTAATGTGAAACAGAGTATTTTCTCATCGACAGTGTATTTGTGTCAGCTATAAACCAGGTCTAGTTAACAGAGGGAAAGGAGGAAAGGTATCATTGAGCTGAGAAAAATTGTCTACGCAGAAAGGGAAATATTATTTGACAATAAAAAGAATGAAGCACTGAAGATACTACAATGCAGTTGACCTGTGAAAAGAAAGAATAGGTGAATCCAGTCACAAAGAGCACATATTATGATTTCATTTTATGAACTGTGCAGAATAGGCAAACCTAAGAATGAAAACTGTAGTTGTCTGACTGGCGAGGTTGAGGAAAAATGCTGAATGACTATTATTAAGTATGATCTTCCTTTTTAGGTAAATGAAAATGTCGTAAAAGTGATTTGGTGATGATCATACCACTTTGTTAATGTGTTAAAAAGCCTCTGGATTATATACTTTCAACAGATGGACTGTATGGTACATGAATTGTACCTTTTTTTTTTTTTTTTTTTTTTTTTTTTTTTTTTTTTTTTGCGGAACCGGGGATTGAACTCAGACCCTTGCACTTGCCAGGCAAGCGCTTATCCTACTGAGCCATCCCCGGCCCCCTGAATTGTACCTTAATAAGACTATTTAATTGACAGTTCCAAATGATGATTTGTAGGATGTTCAAAATCATGTTGATCTAGTTGAATCTCTAGATCTGGCTTTGTTCTGTCAGGGTTGCAGCTCTTCAGGTAGCTGCAGGTCCAGGTTCAAGGTGTCTTGGAAGGATGTTTTTCCTACCACACTGCTGCAGAAGTTCAGCTTGAATTGAGGTTTGAAGTTGTCCTTTAATAAATTTGGTTTGGGGACTGTGTCTAGAACTTGGTTCAGAAGAGATAAACTGAACCCATGGGACAAGGAAGAGGAATAAAGAAGTCTCTAAGCTCACAGGACCTTCAGGTGGTCTGAATTCCAGGCATGGACCAAACACTAATCTACCAGTTGTCACAATTCAGTGGTTGTACTTTCTGCCAGTGCAGTTCCTTAGGACAAAGACACATGTAGTTGGCCCTACATATCCCCCAGTTTCACATCTGTGGTTTTAACCACAGATTTTTTTTTTAAGATTTTTTTTTTAAGTATACACTCTTTTTTACTTAACATTGTTCCCTAAGCAATTAAGTCTATCAAACTATTACATAGCATATAGATTACATTAGCATATAGATTAGACCTTATTAGTCATCTAGAGGTGAAGTATATGGAAAATATGTATAGGCTTTTGCATATACATACTATTTAAGGATGGCTGCACTTTGGAGTCTTTGTTGGCCTCTTCTCCCCTACCAGAAATCCCCTGTGGTTTCATTACAAAATATTCAAATTAAGCCCAGTGCAGACCTTCCCTCTTGTGGCCTGTATTTTGCCTGGTAGCAAACATGAATGGCTTTGGAATCTGAATCGTGGCATTGAATCCCACCTCCACCAGTGGGGTGGATTGTATTACCTTCACTCATGTGCCTAAGTCACAGTCCATCATTAAGACAGCAGGAATGGTACCTACTCTGTGGGAGAGGTTGTGAAAGTTAAATTAGACCATCTCTGTAAAATACTTCTCACCCCACAAATACGTGGGAAATGTGAGATCATTACTCTGTTTTCTTCTCCGTGTAGCCTCCCACTTATCCCAGCCATGTATCATCCGATCCAGAGCTAGCAAAGAACCGCCTTTTTGATAAATGTGTGTGTTCTTTCACATGTTCTAGGTCTGTCTGCTCATGTCTCCATGTTCTGGCCTTCGTTCTCCATAACAGTCATGCCCACCTATTCAGATCTGAAGTTTTTGTTTCATAAATGTTTTCTAACAGGGGCAGTAGTGACTTTTCCCTTTTTTTGTAGTACCTGCCACTTTTACCTAGCACCTGACTTGCAGATTTGTATTGTTCTTTGTTGCCTTACACTATTTTTTTTTTTTATTTTCTTCCGGAACCAGGGATTGAACTCAGACCCTTGCCAGGGAAGCGCTTATTCCACTGAGCCATCTCCCCGGCCCTACCTTATGTTATTAACCTTTTTCTTTCTTCTAGGTGACAAGCTTGATTTGAACAATATCTTTTTTGTATCCCCCCAGTGCTTCATTTAGTGGTGGATATGTGGCAGGGTCTTGGTAGAGCGTTGGCTAACAAATAGATTGCTGATAATTTTGCAGTATTCTTGTACTCAGAGAGATGAGTGTAGGAGCAAAGAAATTCTTTACCATATACATCCTGTATGGTAAAGCACTTTTTGACAGTCTTCTTTTCAAACTCCAAGTGATAATTGCATAGATTGAAGAAAGAAGAGCTTTGGCTCCTTCCTTCCAGAGCAATATCCCAGCTTCCATCCTAAAATTCTGGCTGCTGGAAAAGAGTCACTGTTCTTCTTTCTCTCAAGGAACTGTGATAGGCATTTTATGGGATGCTGCTCCTCTTCTTGGCTCTTTTGTTTGAAATTTAGCCTTCCCCATCAAAATTAGAGACCCTGAGCTTCTCTTTTGTGTTACATTAGATACAACAAAATTTTGAGGAATAAGTTGAAGTTAGTGTCCATTAATAGTTAACTGTCCTGTGTTAAGAATTGTTGTTTGTTTGTTTTCATTTATGTATTTGGTACAGGGTCTCACTACACAGCTTGGACTCGCAGTGATGCTCCTATTTTCAGCCTCCCGTGTGCCTGTAATCCCAGCTCTTGGGAGTCTATAAACAGGTGGATCAGTACGAGTCTGATCTAGTAGTGAGACCCTGAACACCCTTTACATCCTTCACTAAAAATACAATAAATAAATAAATAAATAAGAATTGTTTTAAATGTTGGAGAATGATAGTCTTTGGGCCTTGTCTTATAGTTGTTTATAGTTTTTTAAGAATAAAATATATAAACAATTAAAACTACTCATAGAGAAAGGACTTAATCTTTTTTTTTTTTTTTTTTTTTTGCAGAACCAGGGATTGAACTCAGGCCCTTGTACTTGCCAGCAAGTGCTTATCCTACTGATCCATCTCCCTGGCCTGACTTAATTTTCTTTAGTGAGATTAAAGAAGTTTTTAAAGGAAATATACTACTTGACTCTTACTTTGGTTGTTTAACATGTTTAACATGACTCTATCCTTAAGCGTCCAGTTTTGTTTCTATAGGAATAAGAGTTTTGCTGATAGGTGAATCACATTGCCAGGTTTCAGCTCTGTAACTTCAAAAACAATTGTGTGGATTCTGTGTTCCTTAGGTGATTGCCTAGAATACTGCACAGCCTACCAACATCTGATGAAATTAGTGAATCAGCAAGCCAGCCATGTCTTACACTCCGGGGATTGGTGGGGACCCTGTCCAGCTGGCCCAGCGCATCTCTTCCAACATCCAGAAGATCACACAATGTTGTAAGTTGAGTTTCAAATCAACTTCACTACATTTTTCAAGGCTTAATAGAACTTGGTGGCGGTTCATGAAAGGATATCTCTGGCAGTTTGAGGAGGGACGAGCATTCCTCTAAGGACAGATTTTCAAAGAGTACTAGTCTAGAATGAAGAACTATAATAGAAAAAATGACTTTGTATATTTCTGTGAAGTGCTAGGTCCAGGCATATAGTACATTATCTCACTAATGAAATAAAAATTTAAAAGGACAGTACAGTAGTTACTTGTATTTGCTTTAAGAAATCTGGTTTTCTATGACATTATGAGTTTTGTTGACTCAATTCTATAGGTTTGGAACTGGGGAGCACTTTGAAGAGTTCAAGAAACATGTTTATTAAAATAATCTGATTGGATATTGATTAGGTAATTTTTATAAATATAAATACATGTTATGTAGCTAAGGAGTACAGGTGCATAAAGCAGATATTTTTGTCCCTTTTGTGTTGCTCTAATGAAATAGCTGAGGCTTGGTAGGTTGTAAAGGAAGTGCGTTATTCACCTCCCAGTGTTGGAGGTCAAGCATAGCACCAGCGTCTGCCCAGCTTCTGGTGAGGACATCCTGGAAGAAGAGATGGTGCAGCAAGAGGAAGCAAGAGACGGTGAGCTGAAGAAGCCAGACTCAGCTTGTAGCCGAGTGCTGTCCCAGTGTCCAGTCCAGCCTGAGTGATCTAGAAGAACACGAGTCTCTCTTAATGATCTACTCCCTGCCAGAGACACCCCAACACCACCACTCTGGACCGAGCCTAACATGAGTTTTGGTGGTGGGGTCAAATCATGTTTGAATCATCTCAAGAGGGGACATCTTCATCTGTTCAGACAGATGCTGTAGCAGGTGTGACTTGGACTCCGCACACATTATTCCTTGCTACACTTGTCAGCAACAGAAGGTTAATAAGCTGATATGGTGTGACGTTTTATTAAAAATTGTTACTCCTCAGAATGTATGTACAAATTGAAGAAATATTGTAACGGGTTTGAGCCTACATGATTTTTTATCTTGTTTTATGCCTAAATCATAACTACTCGCATAGATTATCCTAGTCATTTTGCTGTCAGTATTTAGCCATTAAGCTGTTAAGAATAGGATACTACAGTTTTATGCTTTAGCTTGCATCCTTAAGGCTTTTTACCCCTTTTAACAGAATATTAACATATGTTAAAGTAAAGAATGTTTTCAGAGCACCACCCTACTGTGTTTTTCTAATCAGGAAGCTCTCAGCAGTTTTTACTGTGTCTGAGTGGTTTAAATGAGATGTAATGTGTTTTGGAGGCAAAGGTATATACATAGATTGTTTAGAAAGATGTTCTGTATGGGGTAATTCACCTTTTCTTTGGCTAGCCTTAGAGCATCAAGGAAGTGAATACCTTTGAGTATCAGGGCATCTATAGCGGGCCACATAGGTGTGCTCACTCAAGAAGTATTCTGGCTTGTCTGAGCTCTGCCTTGCCCTTCCTGTTTCTGATCTATTCTGGTGGTCACAGAGGAACCTCTTAATTTCATAGTTCCCTTGTTGCTGTTAGAAACAACATAGGTCAGGCTGGGGAGATAGCTCGGTGTCATAAGTGCCTGTCTCACAAGCACAAGGTCCCAAGTTCAGTCCCCAGTACTGCATGCCATATCATTTATGTAGGTAGAAAATCAAGACCATGTACAAGAAAGGGCATCAAAAGCCTTCGTCCAAGGAATAGTTAAGAGAGAGAATGCTAAATGGAGTGAGGACTTCTAAGAAAAGGATGAAAAATGATTGTACTATATTAATAATATAGTACAATATAGTATTTGGAAATAGTAAGCAGGAAGTGATATGAAAAGTACATGATTAGAGACTGCGTGTCAACTTGAACTGGAAAGAGGTAAGAGTGTCCTTTAATCAGATCCTGCTTGCTAAAAAAGAGATCCTTTGACCAGCCAGATGAGAAGCAGTAAATGGGACTAGAGTTGAATATTTACACCTTGAAACAACACTGTGATTCAGGACTGCCTTAGATTATGCAGTAGGTCCCTTACCTATCCCATGCTGTTAAGCCTGAGCTAAGAGAAGGTACAGTCACCATGTTCAGATGGATGAAGCACTGGTGTATTTGATGCAGAAGCAGGATGTTCTGCAGGGCCATAGGGGACTCTACACATGTTAGAAGCTGCAAATAGAACTCCCCTTGAGGAGGAAGAGGTTTGAGTAATCCAAGATTAGGGATGACATTGCTCCCTCAGAGTTGAGACTGCTGTTGCTAAGTGACCAGGAATAGTGGTTATACAGTGTCTCAGGGCTATTCTTAAGAGTCTTAAATGTTGGAATTATGGTTCAGACTAAGTGATTTTTAACTTTTATATTCTGTTGTGATTCATTCAATAAGTAATTCTTTGAGCACCTATTGTCACATACAATTTCAAACAACAGAATCTATCAGTAAACAAAAACGATGAGGTTCTGCTCTCGTAATTTATAATGAAATAGGGAGCAACAGATGATACTTAAAACATATCAAACAAGGGCGGGCAAGATAGCTCAGCAGTCTGAGTGCCTGCTTAGGCAAGTGCAGGGTCCAGGGTTTGAATCCTGGTACCACATGCTGTACCGGCCCTGCCCCCAGGTACGCTGAGCTGGTGAATGAGTCCGGGCATGGTGGTGTATGCCTCTAATCCCAGCAGTGGAGAGGCCAAAAACAGGGGGAATCACTGTGCAGTCTGAGCTATGTAGTGAAACCCTGTACCAAATACTAAAATGGCAAAAAAAAAAAAAAAATTAGAAAACAATGTAATTTTATACAAAGGAAAAGAGTGAGCATGATGTGAAACAAGAAAGTGGTTGCTACCTGCATGCCCACAGCTCCTGAGAAAGGCTGAGGCGGGCCTGGCAGGGAGGAGAGCAGAGAAGGCATTCCGGAAATGGGATAGCTAAGGCAGGCTGAGGCCTTGGATACGCAGAAGATGGGGGTGGGCAAACGAATCCACTGTGTCAGAAGTACAGCAGTTAAGGCAGGAGTGACTGGAGAAAATCCGTGAGTCTCCCAGGGCTTTGTAGGCCGCCCATGGAGTTTAAATTTCAGACTGAGAGGCAGTGGAAATCATTGGAAGCTTTTAAGCAGAGAAGATCCAGAATGAGATCTGAATTTAGCAGAGATTACTTTGGCTGCTACTTACGAAACATGTTTTAGGGTTATAGCAGGAGTATTAAATGTGTGTTGAGGTATGCACTTGCACCAGGGTGCTAGTGAGAGAAAAGTGATGGGTGTGTTTTGGAGCGGAACCCATAAGGTTTGCCATGAAAGTGGGTGGAACTGAGAGGGGATGGGGTGGCAGGGGTGGGGTGCAGGGACATCTTCACAGGTTTTGCATATAACACCTAGGTGGAAGATGGAATCTTCCATATGAGATGGAAAGGATGGTAGTTCAGGACTAGTATGGGAACATTGTGCTTTCGCCAAGTAAATTTTGAAATGTCTTTTATATATAACTAAGTGAGATATGAAACAGACTTTTATTTTTTGCGGTACTAAGGATTGAACTCAGGACCTTGCGTTTGCCAGGCAGGCACTTATGCTGCTGAGCTGTATCCTCAACCCAAAATAGACAATTTAGATATATAAATTTGGAAATTAGGGAGTTATAAGAGCTTTAGTGGTGTTTAAAAATCTAAAATAATCCTGGGAGAATGGCTGGGAGAAAAGCAGGCAGGATGCAGCACAAAGTATGTGAGATGGAGTGATCAGGGAGGTGGGAACAAAACCCAGAACGTTGTAGGTTACTGGAAATCAAAGAATGCTTCAAAGAGTGAAGCATTGTCTGTGCTCATTGCTGCTGAGAGACTAAGATTAAAGCAGAGAATTAGACTGGAAAAGATGCTAACTTTGAAAAGAATGATATTGTGTTTGTATTGCACATGTAGTGGGAGGAAAGGGGAACGGTAGGTAGCTGCTTTGTGCATTTAAAAAGACTTCCCGAATCCTGTACATTTCTGCTTCTGTTACTGACTGCAAGGCTACATCTGGCTGCCTAGCAGGGCTGAAAACCTCTCATAGCTGGATGGCTGTGTGTTCACCAAAGCTGAGGCTTGCTCTAGCTGAGGAAGCATTTCAATAAAGGTAATCAGTCTCCTGACTTTCAACATCTTTGTATAATTTCCCTGGCTTTTAAACTTTAATAGGTCAAGAAGCGTATTTTATTTTATGTTAGGATTCATTCTCTTATGTTGCAGGATTTATCTGTGTAGCTATAGGCCACTAATAGTATTCCATATTCAACTATTCTGCAGTTCTGTTTGAGAAAGAAGGGTTTGAGGAAATTGGGAATAAACTGCTAGTGGGTGGTTTGTCTGCTGTCCACGGTAGGAGACATGACTGAGTATGACCAAGGTGTAAATGTGGTGGCAAAGGTGGAAAGTCCCTCTGTCCGAGAGGGTCTGTTTTAAAGTGAAATATGAAGCTGTTTCATCAGAGAGAACAGAGTGGGCACTAGTGAGAAGCTGATGGGAACAAGACACTGGGCTGCTTGTGGTTCAGACAGCTGAGGGAATGAGCACACAAGAGGAAGCTGATCAAGCTGAGCACACACAGAGACCTGGGATCTTGAGCTTAGTGAGTTCGGTGTACCGTGCCCACAGGAGCTGGGCAGAAGTCAGCAGGGACGTGCAAGGCAGAAGTGGGGCGTTTCACTTCCTGTTCTCCCATGTGGTGGTGCTAATCATGCTAGGCAGATGGCGCGGCATAAGATGAAGCTGACAACTTTTCTCTCTAACGTTTGCGTCTTTCCAATTTGTGTTCATGTGAGTTACCTGACTTCACAAAAGAATCTGAGAGGGGGTGTTGTAAGGTAGATAGGCTGTGGGCATCTGTTCAGCCAGAGCTAAAGGCTTCCCAAAAACTGCCGTGCAAAAAAAGGTATTTCCTATTAATCTTGATTAGAGAAATGACAGAGTATAAAATATTGTATTGTATGGTCTGAAAGTTTTTCAGTCAGAAAGTT